TTGTTTTATATTTTTATTATTTTATTGTTTCCCTTCTACGTGGTGGTGACTTTACCCAAAGAACCATAAATAATATTATTGTTTTACAATAATTTTATTGTTTTATATTTTTATTATTTTATTGTTTCCCTTCTACGTGGTGGTGACTTTACCCAAAGAACCATAAATAATGTTATTGTTTTACAATAATTTTATTGTTTTATATTTGTATTATTTTATTGTTTCCCTTCTACGTGGTGGTGACTTTACCGAAAGAACCAAGAATAATAATTTTATTAAATTTTGATTTAAAGCTTTCGTGACTGCAGTGATTCATATTCTTAGCTCTTTGGGTAAAGTCACCACCACGTAGAAGGGAAACAATAAAATAATAAAAATATATAAAACAATAAAATTCTCACGACGTTTCGACTGCAACACAAGCAGTCACCATCAGGTGTGAAAACCAACGGCAAGAACATTTCAAATGAACATTTCAAATGTTCTTGCCGTTGGTTTTTACCGAAAGAAACCAAGAATATAGTAAGGTACATTTCATTAAAGCGTGTTTAAAAAAATATATATATTTTTTAATTAAGTAAAAACCTTGGATTGCGAGTAGCTTGGTCTCTCCGAGTGTTTTTGCAAGACGAGCAAACGTTGTTTAAATATAAATATTAATTTGATAGACGAGCGAGGGGGTCTTGCGATAGGAGTGGCAGTACGTGTACACGCTTTGTACCGCCGAGCGTCACGTGATCACAGCTGACATACGAGCGCTTTGATGTAAGAGTGCTTTGACGTACGAGTGCTTTGATGTACGAGCGCTTTGACGTACGAGCGTTTTGACGTACGAGCGTTTTGATGTAAGAGTGCTTTGACGTACGAGCGCTTTGACGTACGAGTGCTTTGATGTAAGAGTGCTTTGATGTACGAGCGCTTTGACGTACGGGCGCTTTGACGTACGAGTGATTTGACGTACGAGTGATTTGACCTACGAGTGCTTTGACATACGAGCGCTTTGACGTACGAGCGCTTTGACGTACGAGTGATTTGACGTACGAGTGCTTTGACGTACGGGCGTTTTGACGTACGAGCGCGTTGATGTAAGAGTGCTTTGATGTAAGAGTGCTTTGACGTACGAGTGCTTTGACGTACGAGTGCTTTGACGTACGAGTGCTTTGACGTACGAGCGCTTTGACGTACGAGTGCTTTGACGCACGAGCGCTTTGACGTACGGGCGCTTTGACGTACGAGCGCTTTGACGTACGAGCGCTTTGACGTACGGGTGCTTTGACGTACGAGCGCTTTGGATTGCAAACACGTTTCCGGAAACGAATCATTGCTCGCAATCCGAGAATTGACTGCTATTATTATTATTTTTTTTTAAACTCATTTTGGCTGCTAGGGGTTAGAGCTTGTGGGCTTACCGACACCACGTGACCGAGACAGGTCCGCAGTGCGGGACAGAGGCGCGGACGGCGGCGGTGAACAATAAAAATAGTTGGCGGGCCACGTGGGGATTCTCCGCTCTCACCTCCTGCCCGCTGTGCGTTAGACTGACGGCCCTTGATCTCAGTTTTGATTTGACGCTGTTGTGACTGCAGGAATTACCCCTTGGTGTTTTTTTTTCCGGTAAAGTCACGTAGACAATAAGAAATTAGAAATGTTGTAATCCTTTGCTCTGTCTCCACCACCACCACCACCACCCCGGCTCCCTCCCCCTCGATTTAAGGCTTCGACACAGAAGCGTTGTTTCACTCTGTCCCATGTGTGTGTGTGTCTCTCTGTGTGTGTCTGTGTGTGTCTCTGTGCTGGCTCTCTCTGCTTGGATGTCCGCACATGTGTCTGCGATCTGTACTCTATCACTCTTAACCTATAGTTGAGCAATCTTTGAAATAACATAATCAGCCAGACCGCGCCTTAATTGTGTTTTGACTGGCCCTCTGTGCTGGCCTTATATTGTTTCCAAAATTTGACTGAGTCTTGTTTCAATTTGATGTGCTTCTCCATCTCTCTGTGTTTCATCTCTCTCTCTCTTAAATTTAGCTGTCTATATATGTGTCTGCGATCTGTACTCTAGCACTCTTGACCTATAGTTTAGCAGTCTTTGAAATAACGTAATCAGCCAGACCGCGCGTTAATTGTGTTTTCACCGGCCCTCTGTGCTGGCGTTATATTTCTAAAATTTGACTAAATCTTGTTTCAATTTGATGCGCTTCTCCATCTCTCTCTGTGTTTCATCTCTCTCTCTCTCTTAAATTTAGCTCTTCTATACCTGATGATGATGATTGCTTGCGTTGCAATCGAAACGTCGTATGGATACTGTCATGCAATTTGATCTCATTAATTTTTTTTCCTTATTCATACGTGACTTTACCGAAAAAAACCCCAAAGAGTTAATCTTATTTGTACTCGCATCTCGCTGGGATTTTTTTTGTGCACAGCGTTGGTGGTGTACGGGGGCTATTTTAGGAATATTTTGATGGTTTTTTCTCTCTCTCTCTCCTGGGATTTTTTTAAACTGTTTTGCTCAGTCACACGCGCAGCCACTTGAAGATGGGTTTTTTGTTCCATTTCCCCTGTTCGTGTTTTTAGTTTGTGTTGATTTGGGTGCCGTTGCACCCAAATCCAAGAGTCGAATGGCTCACACATTGGCTACGCCAAAATAAATGGAAACTATGAGACTATGAACTCTTAGCGGAATGCCCGAGGACTATCGATATTCCGATTCTGTATTGTGAATGTGGATGTTGTTGTAGCGTTCTGGCCTCGGACCCTCTCACCCCACCCCTACTGGATATCTGCGGACACAAGAGCTTTGTAGATTTTCAGATTCACCCTGGATATATCAATAGTCTGAGTCTGTATTGTGAATGTTTGTGGACACAAGAGCTTTATAGATTATCAGATTCACCCTGGATAAATCAATAGTCTGAGTCTGTATTGTGAATGTCTGCGGACACAAGAGCTTTATAGATTATCAGATTCATCCTGGATAAATCAATAGTCTGAGTCTGTATTGGGAATATCTGCGTATACAAGAGCTTTATAGATTATCAGATTCATCCGGGATAAATCCATAGTCTGTATTGTGAATGTCTGGATGAAAGAGCTTTAGAGATGATCAGATTCCTCCAGTATAGAACAATATTTTAATTCTGTATTGTGAATTTCTGTGCTTTTGTAGATTTTCAGATTCATCCGGGATAAATCAATAGTCTGAGTCTGTATTGTGAATGTCTGTGGACACAAGAGCTTTATAGATTATCAGATTCATCCTGGATAAGTCAATAGTCTGAGTCTGTATTGTGAATGTTTGTGGATACAAGAGCTTTATAGATTTTCAGATTCATCCTGGATATATCAATAGTCTGAGTCTGTATTGTGAATGTCTGTGGACACAAGAGCTTTATAGATCATCAGATTCATCCGGGATAAATCAATAGTCTGAGTCTGTATTGTGAATGTTGTTGTCGTGAACGTTCTGACCCACGTGCCCTCTGCTCGACATCCGTGTCAAAGAGCTTTAGAGATTTTCAGATTCTGATTCTGTATTGTGAATGTTGTTGTTGTGAACGTTCTGACCCACGTGCCCTCTGCTCGACATCCGTGTCAAAGAGCTTTAGAGATTTTCAGATTCTGATTCTGTATTGTGAATGTTGTTGTTGTGAACGTTCTGACCCACGTGCCCTCTGCTCGACATCCGTGTCAAAGAGCTTTAGAGATTTTCAGATTCTGATTCTGTATTGTGAATGTTGTTGTGACGTTTTCACCTTGTACCCCCCCCCCACTGGATATCTGTGGATGAAAGAGCTTTGTAGATGATCAGATTTTCCATCCTCTTGCTGCAGTTTAAATTCAAAGATTCTGATTTGGTTACCGTATTTTAAAATTAAATAATAACGGTTACCGGTTTATAACGGTTACTGGTTCACAGCGGTTACTGGTTCACAACGGTGACCGGTTTATAACGGTTACCGGCTTATAGCGGTTACCGGTTTACAACGGTTACCGGTTTATAACGGTTACCGGTTTACAATGGTTACTGGTTTACAACGGTTACCGGTTTATAACGGTTACTGGTTTACAATGGTTACTGGTTCACAACGGCCTTAGCGGGTTCACAACATCTAACCGGACATCACTCCCCACCCGGGGGGTGTTTCTGGAGACGTCACTCTCCTCCCGGGGGGTGTTTCTGGTGACGTCACTCCCCTACCGGGGGGTGTTTCTGGTGACGTCACTCCCCTACCGGGGGGTGTTTCTGGTGATGTCACTCCCCACCCGGGGGGTGTTTCTGGTGACGTCACTCTCCTCCTGGGGGGTGTTTCTGGTGACGTCAGTCTCCCTCGGGGGTGTTTCTGGTGACGTCACTTCCTCCCGGGGGGTGTTTCTGGAGACGTCACTCTCCCTCCCGGGGGGTGTTTCTGGTGACGTCACTCCCCCTCCCGGGGGGTGTTTCTGGTGACGTCACTCTCCCTCCCGGGGGGTGTTTCTGGTGACGTCACTCCCCCTCCCGGGGGGTGTTTTTGGTGACGTCACTCTCCTCCCGAGGGGGGGTTTCTGGTGACGTCACTCCCCCTCCCGGGGGGTGTTTCTGGTGACGTCACTCCCCCTCCCGGGGGGTGTTTCTGGTGACGTCACTCCCCTCCCGGGGGGTGTTTTTGGTGACGTCACTCCCCTCCCGGGGGGTGTTTCTAGGGACGTCACTCCCCTCACGGGGGGTGTTTCTGGTGACGTCACTCCCCTCCAGGGGGGGGGGGTTCTGGTGACGTCACTCCCCTCACGGGGGTGTTCCTGATGACGTCACTCTCCCTCGGGGGTGTTTTGGTGACGTCACTCGCCCACCAATAGGTTGTTTTTGGGTGACGTCACTTTCTCTCCTCCCCCCAGCTCCCCTCGAGGATATATACTGCGACGTCACTTTCTCCCCCCACCTCCTCCCCCCTCCCCTCGAGGATATTTACGACGACGTCACTTCCTTCTCTCCGGGGGGGGGTGTTTCCGTCGACGTCACTTCCTGCCCCCCCACCCCTCCTCCCCCCTTCCTCCTCGAGTAATTTTTTTGTTACTTTCCCGCGCGAAGATGGCGCTCATCTGTTCGAGTAAGAACTCAGCCACCACCACCACAAAGTTTACCGCTCCCAATGTCGCACCACCACCACCAACCATCTCATACCCCGGGCGGGGGCGTGTTTAGCGGCGCGCGCGCACATTTATTTTTTTAAAACAATTTAAATTGTTTTACCTCATCAGCGTGTTTTTGGGGGGCCTAGTCGCCCTCGCCGGGGATCAGGCCGAAGCCTGCGGCTCGCCTGGATTCCTTTGCCGGGGTTGCGTCGACCACCCCCGCAGGGCCATTAGGAAAGAAGGGAGGGGGGTGGGGTCGGTGTATTATCCTCCACAACTATTAAATAAGACTTTATTATAAAAAAAATATGCGTTTAAAAGTGTATTGGATACAACGCTCGACCAAACCACCGTCCCTTGTTTGCTCTATCCACTGCTTTGCTGCGAGCCTTGTGACGATTCGCCAGGAGCGGTAGCCACGCGCCTCTGGGCACCGCCGGCTCGCCATATGGCCCCGCTGTCTGTAGACTTGTGGTGTAGTGTGTGGTGTGGTAGTGTGTGGTGTGTAGTAGTGTGGTGTAGTGTGGTGTTTGTAGTGTATAGTAGTGTAGTGTGTGGTGTTTGTAGTGTGGTGTGTAGTGTAGTGTTTAGTGTATAGTAGTGTGGTGTGTAGTGTATAGTAGTATAGTGTTGTGTGGTGTAGTGTGGTGTTTGTAGTGGTGTGTAGTGTGGTGTTTGTAGTGTTGTAGTGTGATGGTGTGGTGTGTAGTGTATAGTAGTGTCGTAGTGTGGTGTGTAGTGTGGTGTTGTAGTGTAGTAGTGTATAGTAGTGTAGTGTTGTAGTGTGGTGTGTAGTGTAGTAGTGTATAGTGTAGTAGTGTATAGTGTGGTGTTTGTAGTGTTGCAGTGTGGTGTGTAGTGTTGTAGTGTAGTGTGGTGTGTAGTGTTGTAGTGTGGTGTGTAGTGTTGTAGTGTGGTGTGTAGTGTATAGTGTGGTGTTTGTAGTGTTGTGTAGTGTGGTGTGTAGTGTTGTAGTGTGGTGTGTAGAAGTGTATATTGTAGTGTTTAGTGTAGTGTTGTGTGGTGTGTAGTAGTGTATATTGTAGTGTTTAGTGTATAGTAGTGTTTAGTGTGGTGTAGTGTATATGTAGTGTAGTGTTGTAGTGTTGTGTGTATAGTAGTGTAGTGGTGTAGTGTTTAGTGTAGTATCTGGGGTAGTGTATAGTAGTGTTTAGTGTAGTGTATAGTAGTGTATAGTGGTGTAGTGTATAGAGTAGTGTATAGTGTAGTGTATAGTAGTGTATAGTGTAGTGTCGAGTAGTGTATAGTAGTGTAGTAGTGTGTACATTAGTGTGTAGAGTAGTAGTGTATAGTGTAGTAGTAGTGTATAGTGTTGTGTGTAGTGTATAGTGTAGTGTGTAATGTTTAGTGTAATGTAGTATTGTACAGTGTAGTAGTGCGTGTCTCTGTGTGTCTCTCTGTTACATTTTTTTATTGACCGGCTCCAGTTTAACAGCAGAGGTCTCACTCCGAATCAGTCGAGCGGCAATATCTTTTCATCAGTTGCGTAACGCTGTGTGGAAGCTACCTGGTCTGTCGCTCCGCACTAAGCTTCAGGTCTTCTCGGCCACGGTCATTCCCTCCCTTCTCTACGCTTGCGAAACGTGCCCCCCCCCCCCCTAATGGAACATCTTCGCCGGTTAGAAACATTTTGGCTAGCCTGCCTACGATCCATCCTGGGTTTAACCAGGCGGGATTGTGTGAGGAGCTCACAGATGCTTGAAAGATCTGGGCAAGGTCCCATCGGTGAGCTCCTCCGGCAGGCAAGGCTGCGTTGGCTGGGTCATGTAGCCCGCCGGATCGAGGGGGCTAAACGGGCGCAGCACGGGCTAGAGAAGAGATGGAGTGATGTGGTACAGGAGGACGTGGAGCTGAGTGGACTTGCCGATGAGGAGGCTCGTGAAGGATGCTACTGGACAGTTGGAGGCAGTCGCCCTCCAACAACAACGGAGGGCGGAGGAGCGACGCTCACAACAACGAGCGGAGCGCCGGGTGGCTAATGCACAGCAGGTTGGCACAGTAGGGGGCACAGGTGGTGCACCAGCCAGTCATCTCAGTCATCTCAGTCAGTCGACCCGTGGCACCTGGGTCTGCCCCGTGACCTCCTGCCAGCGGGCGTTCGACACTTCACGTGGCCTCAAGGTGCACATAGCCTGGCACAAGCGTCGTGGTGACGTCACCGCCACTTAGTGGCGAATGACGGTTGTTGTAATGGCGGTTGTTGTTGTGTCTCTCTCCTCAACTCGTCCAGTCAGTAACGAGGTGCCCGATCACCCGTGTCTCTCTGTGTGTGTCTCTCTGTGTGTGTCTCTCTGTGTGTGTCTCTCTGTGTGTGTCTCTCTGTGCTTCTCCCCACCTCGTCCAGTCAATAACGAGGTGCCCGAGCACCCATGCGTGTCTCTGTGTGTGTGTCTCTCTGTGTCTCTCCCCACCTCGTCCAGTCAGTAACGAGGTGCCTGACCACCTGTGTGTGTCTCTCTGTGTGTGTCTCTCTGTGTGTGTCTCTCTGTGTCTCTCTGTGTGTCTCTCTGTGTCTCTCTCCCCACCTCGTCCAGTCAGTAACGAGGTGCCCGACCACCCATGCGTGTCTCTGTGTGTCTCTGTGTGTCTCTCTGTGTGTCTCTCTGTGTGTGTCTCTCTGTGTGTGTCTCTCTCTCCCCACCTCGTCCAGTCAGTAACGAGGTGCCCGAGCACCCGTGTCTCTCTGTCTCTCTGTGTCTCTCCCCCCACCTCGTCCAGTCAGTAACGAGGTGCCCGACCACCCGTGTGTCTCTGTGTGTCTCCCTCTCTGTGTGTCTCTCTTTCCCCACCTCGTCCAGTCAGTAACGAGGTGCCCGACCACCCGTGTGTCTCTGTGTGTCTCCCTCTCTGTGTGTCTCTCTTTCCCCACATCGTCCAGTCAGTAACGAGGTGCCTGACCACCTGTGTCTCTCTGTGTCTCTCCCCTCACCTCGTCCAGTCGGTAACGAGGTGCCCGAGCACCCGTGCGTGTCTCTCTGTGTGTCTCTCCCCTCACCTCGTCCAGTCAGTAACGAGGTGCCTGACCACCTGTGTCTCTCTGTGTCTCTCCCCTCACCTCGTCCAGTCAGTAACGAGGTGCCCGAGCACCCGTGTCTCTCTCTCTCCCCTCACCTCGTCCAGTCAGTAACGAGGTGCCCGAGCACCCGTGTCTCTCTCTCTCCCCTCACCTCGTCCAGTCAGTAACGAGGTGCCCGAGCACCCGTGTCTCTCTCTCTCCCCTCACCTCGTCCAGTCAGTAACGAGGTGCCTGACCACCTATGTGTGTCTCTCTGTGTGTGTCTCTGTGTGCCTCTGTGTGTGTCTCTCTGTGTGTGTCTCTCTCTGTGTCTCTCTGTGTGTCTCTCTCTCCCCACCTCGTCCAGTCAGTAACGAGGTGCCTGACCACCTGTGTCTCTCTGTGTCTCTCCCCCCACCTCGTCCAGTCAGTAACGAGGTGCCCGAGCACCCGTGCGTGTCTCTCTGTGCCTCTGTGTGTGTCTCTCTGTGTGTCTCTGTGTGTGTCTCTCTGTGTGTCTCTGTGTGTCTCTCTGTGCCTGTCTCTCTCTCTCCCCACCTCGTCCAGTCAGTAACGAGGTGCCTGACCACCTGTGTCTCTGTGTGTCTCTCTGTGTGTCTCTCTGTGTGTCTCTCTCTGTGTCTCTCTCTCCCCTCACCTCATCCAGTCAGTAACGAGGTGCCCGAGCACCCATTCGTGTCTCTCTGTGCGTGTCTCTCTCTCCCCACACCTCGTCCAGTCAGTAACGAGGTGCCCGAGCACCTGTGTGTGTCTCTCTGTGTGTGTCTCTCTCTCCCCACCTCGTCCAGTCAGTAACGAGGTGCCTGACCACCTGTGTCTCTGTGTGTCTCTCTCTCTCTCTGTGTCTCTCTCTGTGTCTCTCTCTCTCCCCACCTCGTCCAGTCAGTAACGAGGTGCCCGAGCACCCGTGCGTGTCTCTCTGTGTGTGTCTCTCTGTGTGTCTCTGTGTGTGTCTCTCTGTGTGTCTCTGTGTGTCTCTCTGTGCCTGTCTCTCTCTCTCCCCACCTCGTCCAGTCAGTAACGAGGTGCCTGACCACCTGTGTGTGTCTCTCTCTCTCTGTGTCTCTCTGTGCCTGTCTCTCTCTCTCCCCACCTCGTCCAGTCAGTAACGAGGTGCCTGACCACCTGTGTCTCTGTGTGTCTCTCTCTCTGTGTCTCTCTCTGTGTCTCTCTCTCTCCCCACCTCGTCCAGTCAGTAACGAGGTGCCTGACCACCCGTGTCTCTCTCTCTGTGTGTCTCTGTGTGTGTCTCTGTGTCTCTCTGTGTGTGTCTCTCTGTGTCTCTCTCTCCCCACCTCGTCCAGTCAGTAACGAGGTGCCCGACCACCCGTGTCTCTCTCTCTCTCTCCCCTCACCTCGTCCAGTCAGTAACGAGGTGCCCGACCACCCGTGTCTCTCTCTCTCTCTCTCCCTCCCCTCACCTCGTCCAGTCAGTAACGAGGTGCCCGACCACCCGTGTCTCTCTCTTTCTCTCTCCCTCCCCTCACCTCGTCCAGTCAGTAACGAGGTGCCCGAGCACCCGTGTCTCTGTGTGTGTCTCTCTGTGTGTCTCTCTGTGTGTGTCTCTCTCTCTCCCCCCACCTCGTCCAGTCAGTAACGAGGTGCCTGACCACCTGTGTCTCTCTCTCTCTCCCCACCTCGTCCAGTCAGTAACGAGGTGCCCGAGCACCCGTGTCTCTCTGTGTCTCTCTGTGTCTCTCTCCGTCTCTCTCCCCACCTCGTCCAGTCAGTAACGAGGTGCCCGACCACCCGTGTCTCTCTCTCTCTCCCCTCTCCCCACACCTCGTCCAGTCAGTAACGAGGTGCCCGAGCACCCGTGCGTGTCTCCCGTGTCGGGCCACGTGTTTGAGCGCCGCCTGGTGGAGCGCTTTGTGGCGGAGAACGGCGTGGACCCGGTGAGTGGCACTGCGCTGAGCGAGGAGCAGCTCGTGGACATCCGAGCCCCACACACCGCAAGGCCCAAGCCTCCATCGGCCACCTCCATTCCAGCCATCCTCAAGTCCCTGCAGGACGAGTGGGTGAGTGGTGGTGGTGGTGAAGGGGGTGGTGGTGGTGGTGGTGGGGGGTGGTGGGGGTGGTGGTGGTGGTGGTGGGTGTGGTGAAGGGGGTGGTGAAGGTGGTGGTGGTGGTGGTGGGGGGTGGTGGTGGTGGGGGTGGTGGTGGTGGTGGTGGGTGGGTGGTGGTGGTGGTGGTGGGGGTGGTAGTGGTAGGGGTGGTGGTCGTGGTGGTAGTGGTGGTGGTGGGGGGGGTCGGGGTGGGGGGGGTGGTGGTGGGGGTGGGGGTGGTGGGGGGGGTGGTGGTGGGGGTGGTGGTGGGGGGGGTGGTGGGGGTGGTGGTGGTGGTGGTGGTGGGGGGTGAGTGGCCGTGTGGGTGAGTGGCGGTGGGTGGGTGGTGGGGGGTGGGGGTGGTGGTGGTGAAGGGGGTGGTGATGGGGGTGGTGAAGGGGGTGGTGGTGGTGGTAGTGGGGGTGGTGATGGTGGTGGTGGGGTTGGTGGTAGTGGTGGGGTTGGTGATGGTGGTAGGGGTGGTGGTAGTGGTGATGGTGGTGGTGGTGGTGATGATGGTGATGGTGGTGGTGGTAGTGGTGGGGGGGGTGGTGGTGGTGGGGGTGGTGGTGGTGGTAGTGGTGGGGGGGGTGGTGGTGGTGGGGGTGGTGGTGGTGGTGAAGGTGGTGGGTGGGTGGTGGTGGTGGTGGTGGTGGGGGTGGTGGGAGTGGTGGTGGGGGTGGTGGTGGTGGTGGTGGGGGTGGTGGTGGTGGTGGTGGTGAAGGTGGTGGGGGTGGTGGTGGGGGTGGTGAAGGGGGTGGTGGTGGTGGGGGTGGTGGTGGTGGTGGGGGTGGTGGGGGTGGTGGTGGTGGTGGGGGTGGTGAGTGGCGGTGGTGGTGGGGTTGGTGATGGTGGTGATGGTGGGTGGTTGTGATGGTGGTGGGATTGGTGATGATGGTGGTGGTTGTGATGGGATTGGTGGTGGAGGTGGTGGTGGTGACGTTGAACAGAGGCGATGTTGATGCCATCTCTGTCACGATGCTGATGACCTTGTCTCTGTGATGACGACGATGATGGTGACGACGTTGATGATGACGTTGATGATGATAACGTTGATGGTGACGACGTTGATGATGACGACGTTGATGATGACGTTGATGATGATAACGTTGATAGTGACGACGTTGATGATGATGACGACGTTGATGATGACGATGTAATGATGATGACGATGATGATGACGACGTTGATCATTATGACGACGTTGATGATTATGACGATGATGATGACGACGTGATGACGACGTGATGACGATGACGACGTTGACGATGATAACGTTGATGATTATGACGACGTGATGACGATGATGGTGACGACGTTGACGATGATGACGACGGTGGTGACGACGACGTTGATGATTATGACGACGTTGATGATTATGACGACGATGATGACGATGATGATGACGACGTTGATCATTATGGCGACGTTGATGGCGACGATGGTGACGACGTTGACGATGACGACGATGATGATGATGACGACGTGATGACGATGATGATGATGAGGACGATGACGACGACGATGACGACGTAATGATGATGACGACGTTGACGTTGATGACGATGACGTTGACGATGACGACGTTGACGACGACGATGATGACGACGTAATGATGATGACGACGTTGATGGTGACGTTGACGATGACGACGTAATGATGACGACGTTGACGTTGATGACGATGACGTTGACGATGACGACGTTGACGACGACGATGATGACGACGTAATGATGATGACGACGATGATGATGACGTTGACGATGACGACGTAATGATGATGACGTTGACGACGATGATGATGACGTTGATGACACCGCCGCCGCCCCCCCAGGACGCGGTGATGCTGCAGAGCCACTCGCTGCGTCAGCAGCTGCAGACGGCGCGTCAGGAGCTGTCCCACGCACTGTACCAGCATGACGCGGCCTGCAGAGTGATAGCACGCCTCACTAAAGAAGTAGCCGCCGCTCGTGAAGGTAATCATCATCAGCATCATCATCACCATCATCACCAGCATCATCATCACCATCATCATCATCATCACCATCACCAGCATCATCATCACCATCATCACCACCATCATCATCAGCATCACCAGCATCATCATCACCATCATCACCATCACCATCATCACAGAGTGATAGCACGCCTCACTAAAGAAGTAGCCGCCGCTCGTGAAGGTAATCATCATCAGCATCATCATCACCATCATCATCATCACAGAGTGATAGCACGCCTCACTAAAGAAGTAGCCGCCGCTCGCGAAGGTAATCATCATCAGCATCATCATCACCATCATCACCATCATCAACATCACAGAGTGATAGCACGCCTCACTAAAGAAGTAGCTGCAGCTCGTGAAGGTAATCATCATCAGCATCATCATCATCACCATCATCACCATCACCATCATCACCATCATCACCATCATCATCACCATCATCATCATCATCATCACCATCATCATCACCATCATCATCACAGAGTGATAGCACGCCTCACTAAAGAAGTAGCTGCAGCTCGTGAAGGTAATCATCATCAGCATCATCACCACCATCATCAACATCATCATCACCATCATCACCATCATCATCATCACAGAGTGATAGCACGCCTCACTAAAGAAGTAGCCGCCGCTCGCGAAGGTAATCATCATCAGCATCATCATCATCACCATCATCACCATCATCACCATCATCATCACCATCATCATCAGCATCATCATCACCATCATCATCACAGAGTGATAGCACGCCTCACTAAAGAAGTAGCCGCCGCTCGTGAAGGTAATCATCATCAGCATCATCATCACCACCATCATCATCAGCATCATCATCATCACCATCATCATCACAGAGTGATAGCACGCCTCACTAAAGAAGTAGCCGCCGCTCGTGAAGGTAATCATCATCAGCATCATCATCACCATCATCACCATCATCATCACCATCATCACCATCATCATCATCACCACCATCATCATCATCACAGAGTGATAGCACGCCTCACTAAAGAAGTAGCTGCAGCTCGTGAAGGTAATCATCATCAGCATCATCATCACCAGCATCATCATCACCATCATCAACATCACCATCACCACAGAGTGATAGCACGCCTCACTAAAGAAGTAGCTGCAGCTCGTGAAGGTAATCATCATCAGCATCATCATCACCATCATCATCAACATCACCATCATCATCACCATCATCACCATCATCACCATCATCATCACCAGCATCACCATCACAGAGTGATAGCACGCCTCACTAAAGAAGTAGCTGCAGCTCGTGAAGGTAATCATCATCAGCATCATCATCATCACCATCATCACCATCATCACCATCATCACAGAGTGATAGCACGCCTCACTAAAGAAGTAGCCGCCGCTCGTGAAGGTAATCATCATCAGCATCATCATCATCACCATCATCACCATCACCACCATCATCACCATCACCATCACAGAGTGATAGCACGCCTCACTAAAGAAGTAGCCGCCGCTCGTGAAGGTAATCATCATCAGCATCATCATCATCATCACCATCATCACCATCATCACCATCACCACCATCATCACAGAGTGATAGCACGCCTCACTAAAGAAGTAGCCGCCGCTCGTGAAGGTAATCATCACCACCATCATCAACATCACCATCATCACCATCATCATCAGCATCATCATCATCACCGCCATCACCACCATCATCATCACCATCACCACCACCATCATCATCAACATCACCGCCATCACCACCATCATCATCACCACCACAATCATCACCACCACCATCATCATCAACATCATCATCATCACCATCACCACCATCATCACCATCATCATCATCACCATCATCACCATCATCATCACCGCCATCACCACCATCATCACCATCACCACCACAATCATCACCACCACCATCATCATCAACATCAACATCACAGAGTGATAGCACGCCTCACTAAAGAGGTAGCCGCAGCTCGCGAAGGTAATCATCATCATCAGCATCATCATCATCATCATCACCATCATCTCCACAATCATCACCACCACCATCATCATCAACATCATCATCAACATCACCATCATCATCAACATCACCATCATCACCATCATCATCATCACCATCAACATCACCATCATCAACATCACCATCATCATCATCACCATCATCATCACCACCATCATCATCATCACCACCATCATCATCATCACCATCATCATCATCAACATCAACATCACAGAGTGATAGCACGCCTCACTAAAGAGGTAGCCGCAGCTCGCGAAGGTAATCATCATCATCAGCATCATCATCACCATCATCACCACAATCATCACCACCACCATCATCATCAACATCATCATCATCAACATCACCATCATCATCAACATCACCATCATCACCATCATCATCATCACCACCATCACCATCATCATCAACATCACCATCATCAACATCACCATCATCATCACCATCATCATCACCACCATCATCATCATCACCACCATCATCATCACCACCAGCATCACCATCACCACCATCATCATCATCATCACCATCACCACCATCACAGAGTGATAGCACGCCTCACTAAAGAAGTAGCCGCAGCTCGCGAAGGTAATCATCATCATCACCATCATCATCAGCATCATCATCACCACCATCATCACCATCACCACCACCACCATCACTACCATCACCACCACCACCATCACCACCATCATCACCATCACCACCACCACCATCACCACCATCACTACCATCACCACCACCATCATCACCACCATCACCATCATCACCACCACTACCATCACCACCATCACCACCACCATCACCACCATCATCACTACCACCACTACCATCACCACCATCACCACCACCATCATCACCACCATCATCACTACCATCATCATCAGCACCATCAGCACCACCACCATCACCACCACCACCACCACTATCCTCACCACCACCATCACTGTGTTGTGGATGTTGACGATGTTGTTGATGTGGTTGTTGTTGACAATGTTGATGTTGACTATGTTGATGTGGTTGTTGTTGACGATGTAGTTGTTGTTGATGTGGACGATGTTGTTGATGTGGTTGTTGTTGACAATGTTGATGTTGTGGATATTGACGATGTTGTTGATGTGGATGTTGTTGACGATGTTGACGATGTAGTTGTTGATGTTGACGATGTTGTTGATGTTGTGGATGTTGACGATGTTGATGATGTGGTTGTTGTTGATGTTGACGATGTTGTTGATGTGGTTGTTGACAATGTTGATGTTTACGATGTTGATGTTGTTGATGTTTACGATGTTGATGTTGTTGATGTGGACGTTGACGATGTTGTTGATGTGGACGATGTTGTTGTTGTTGATGTGGACGATGTTGTTGTTGATGTGGTTGTTGATGTGGTTGTTGTTGTTGTTGTAGCTTTGGCAACTCTGAAGCCGCAGGCCGGACTGATCGTGACTCCGGCTACACCGGCCACACAGCCTGTCGTGGTGAGTAGCTGTCTGATCCTCACCACTCCTCACCACTCCTCACCACTCACTCACCACTCAACACTCCTCACCACTCACCCACTCACTCACTCATCCACTCACTCACTTACTCACTCACCCACTCACTCACTCACTCATCCACTCACCCACTCACTCAGACACTCACTCATCCACTCACTCCACTCACTCGCTCACTCACTCACCCACTCACTCACCCACTCACTCACCCACTCACTCACCCACTCACTCACCCCACTCACTCACTCACTCACCCACTCATTCACCCACTCACTCACCCACTCACTCACCCACTCACTCACTCTCTCACTCACTCAGACACTCACTCAGACACTCACTCACTCACCCACTCTCTCACTCACTCACCCACTCACTCACCCACTCACTCACCCACTCACCCACTCACTCACCCACTCACCCACCCACTCACTCACCACCACTGATTTGTTGTGGTTGTGGTTAACTTTGTGGTTAATGTTGTGGTTAATGTTGTGGTGGTTGTATTTAATGTTGTGGTTACCGTGGTTAATGTTATGGTTACCGTGGTTAATGTTGTGGTTGCCGTGGTTACCATGGTTAATGTTGTGGTTGCCATGGTTACCGTGGTTAATGTTGTGGTTACCGTGGTTAATGTTGTGGTTGCCGTGGTTACCGTGGTTGATGTTGTGGTTGCCGTGGTTACCGTGGTTGACGTTGTGGTTGCCGTGGTTACCGTGGTTGATGTTGTGGTTGCCGTGGTTACCGTGGTTGATGTTGTGGTTGCCGTGGTTGATGTTGTGGTTGCCGTGGTTACCGTGGTTGATGTTGTGGTTGCCGTGGTTACCGTGATTGTTTTCAGGCTGGAACTGAAGCGATGGACGTCAGTGAACAGATTGGAATGGGACCTGAAATCATCCAGAAGGTGAGAGGGTGGTGAGTGGTGAGTGGGTGGTGATCGGGTGGTGAGTGGGTGGTGAGTGAGTAGGTGGGTGAGTGAGTGAGTGGGTGGGTGAGTGAGTGAGTGGTGAGTGGGTGGTGAGTGGTGAGTGGGTGGTGAGTGGGTGGTGAGTGGGTGGTGAGTGGGTGGTGAGTGGGTGGTGAATGGGTGGGTGAGTGGTGAGTGAGTGGGTGGGTGAGTGAGTGGGAGGGTGGTGATTGGGTGAGTGAGTGGGTGGGTGAGTCGGTGAGTGGGTGGGTGAATGAGTGGGTGAGTGGGAGAGTGAGTGGGTGGTGAGTGGGTGGGTGAGTGGGTGAGTGGGTGAGTGGGTGGGTGGGTGGGTGAGTGAGTGAGTAGGTGGTGAGTGGGTGAGTTAGTGGGTGAGTGGGTGAGTGGGTGGGTGGGTGAGTGAGTGGGTGGGTGAGTGAGTGGGTGGGTGGGTGGGTGAGTGAGTGAGTGGGTGGGTGGGTGAGTGGGTGAGTAGGTGGGTGAGTGAATGAGTAGGTGGGTGAGTGAATGAGTAGGTGGGTTAGTGGGTGGGTGAGTGAGTGGGTGGGTGAGTGAGTGAGTGGGTGAGTGAGTAGGTGGGTGAGTAGGTGGGTGAGTAGGTGAGTGAGTGAGTGGGTGAGTAGGTGGGTGAGTGAGTGGGTGAGTAGGTGGGTGAGTGAATGAGTAGGTGGGTTAGTGGGTGGGTGAGTGAGTGGGTGGGTGAGTGAGTGAGTGGGTGAGTGAGTAGGTGGGTGAGTAGGTGGGTGAGTAGGTGAGTGAGTGAGTGGGTGAGTAGGTGGGTGAGTGAGTGGGTGAGTAGGTGGGTGAGTAACTCCTCTGTGTGTCTCCCCCGTGTGTAGCTGCAAGACAAGGCGACGGTGCTCACCACGGAGAGGAAGAAGGTGAGCAGCAGCTCCTCACCAGGCCCACACACACACACACTCACCCACACACACACACACGCTCACACACACACACACACACACGCTCACCCACACACACACACACGCTCACACACACACGCTCACCCACACACACACACACACTCACCCACACACACACACGCTCACCCACACACACGCTCACCCACACACACACATGCTCACCCACACACACACACACGCTCACACACACACGCTCACCCACACACACACACGCACGCTCACACACACACACGCTCACCCACACACACACACACGCTCACCCACACACACACGCTCACCCACACACACACGCGCACACACACACCCTCACCCACACACACACACGCTCACCCACACACACACAAACAAAGATCCCCCGTGTAGCCTTAACAGACTGTAGGGGCAAGTGCTGTTAGCGAGCACCTATGAAGGCCGGAACGGTACACGAGGGGGTGGGTGGCCAGCACCACGCCCGACCGCCTTTGTCTCCCCAGTGGTGATGTTTGCTACACACCGCACCAGGTACTCATTTGAGGCTGAGTCGACCTAGGGGAGGCCCGGGACCGGATCAGATAATCGTCACTGGTGTTGGCCGTGAGCGGGAATCGAACCCGGGTCGCCAGGTTCATAGCGCAGCGTAGCGCTAACCACTACACTACCGCTCCCCACCACACACACGCTCACCCACACACACTGTGTGGGTGAGCGTGTGTGTGTCTCACCGTGTGTCTGACTGTGTGTGTGTCTCACTTTGTGTGTGTCTCACTGTGTGTGTGTGTGTCTCACTGTGTGTGAGTCTCACTGTGTGTGTCTCACTGTGTGTGTCTCACCATGTGTGTGAGTCTCACTGTGTGTGTGTGTGTCTCACCATGTGTGTGTGTCTCACTGTGTGTGTCTCACCATGTGTGTGTGTCTCACTGTGTGTATGTGTCTCACCATGTGTGTGTGTCTCACTGTGTGTGTCTCACTGTGTGTGTGTCTCACTGTGTGTGTGTCTCACTGTGTGTGTGTGTGTCTCACTGTGTGTGTGTCTCACTGTGTGTGTGTCTCACTGTGTGTGTGTGTCTCACCGTGTGTGTGTGTCTCACCGTGTGTGTGTGTCTCACCGTGTGTGTGTGTCTCACCGTGTGTGTGTGTCTCACCGTGTGTGTGTGTCTCACCATGTGTGTGTGTGTCTCACTGTGTGTGTGTCTCACTGTGTGTGTCACTGTGTGTGTCTCACTGTGTGTGTGTCTCACTGTGTGTGTGTCTCACTGTGTGTGTCTCACTGTGTGTGTGTCTCACCGTGTGTGTTACTGTGTGTGTCTCACTGTGTGTGTCTCACTGTGTGTGTGTCTCACTGTGTGTGTGTCTCACTGTGTGTGTGTGTCTCACTGTGTGTGTGTCTCACCGTGTGTGTCTGTGTCTCACCGTGTGTGTCTGTGTCTCACCGTGTGTGTCTGTGTCTCACCGTGTGTGTCTGTGTCTCACCGTGTGTGTGTGTCTCACTGTGTGTGTGTCTCACTGTGTGTGTGTCTCACTGTGTGTGTCTCACTGGGTGTGTCTCACTGTGTGTCTCACTGTGTGTCTCACTGTGTGTGTGTCTCACTGTGTGTGTGTCTCACCGTGTGTGTGTCTCACTGTGTGTGTGTGTCTCACTGTGTGTGTCTCACTGTGTCTCACTGTGTGTCTCACTGTGTGTCTCACTGTGTGTGTGTGTCTCACTGTGTGTGTCTCACTGTGTGTGTCTCACTGGGTGTGTCTCACTGTGTGTCTCACTGTGTGTCTCACTGTGTGTGTGTCTCACTGTGTGTGTGTCTCACTGTGTGTGTGTCTCACCGTGTGTGTGTCTCACTGTGTGTGTGTGTCTCACTGTGTGTGTCTCACTGTGTCTCACTGTGTGTCTCACTGTGTGTCTCACTGTGTGTGTGTGTCTCACTGTGTGTGTCTCACTGTGTGTGTCTCACCGTGTGTGTGTGTCTCACTGTGTGTGTGTGTCTCACTGTGTGTGTGTGTCTCACCGTGTGTGTGTCACTGTGTGTTACTCTCACCATGTGTGTGTGTCTCACTGTGTGTGTGTCTCACCGTGTGTGTGAGTCTCACTGTGTGTGTGTTTCACTGTGTGTGTCTCACTGTGTGTGTCTCACCGTGTGTGTGTGTGTGTGTCTCACTGTGTGTGTGTCTCACTGTGTGTGTGTCTCACTGTGTGTGTCTCTCACCGTGTGTGTGTGTCTCACTGTGTGTGTCTCTCACCGTGTGTGTGTGTGTGTCACCGTGTGTGTGAGTCTCACTGTGTGTGTGTCTCACTGTGTGTGTGTCTCACTGTGTGTGTGTCTCACCGTGTGTGTGTGTGTGTGTCTCACCGTGTGTGTGTGTGTGTGTCTCACTGTGTGGGTGTGTGTCTCACTGTGTGTGTGTCTCACTGTGTGTGTGTGTCTCACTGTGTGTGTGTGTCTCACTGTGTGTGTCTCACTGTGTGTGTCTCACTGTGTGTGTCTCACCGTGTGTGTGTCTCACCGTGTGTGTGTGTCTCACTGTGTGTCTCACTGTGTGTCTCACTGTGTGTGTCTCACCGTGTGTGTGTGTCTCACTGTGTGTGTGTCTCACTGTGTGTGTGTCTCACTGTGTGTGTGTCTCACTATGTGTGTCTCACTGTGTGTGTCTCACTGTGTGTGTCTCACTGTGTGTGTGTGTCTCACTGTGTGTGTGTCTCACTGTGTGTGTCTCACTGTGTGTGTGTGTCTCACTGTGTGTGTGTGTCTCACTGTGTGTGTCTCACTGTGTGTGTGTCTCACTGTGTGTGTGTGTGTCTCACTGTGTGTGTGTGTCTCACTGTGTGTGTGTCTCACTGTGTGTGTCTCACTGTGTGTGTCTCACTGTGTGTGTGTGTGTCTCACTGTGTGTGTGTGTCTCACTGTGTGTGTGTGTCTCACTGTGTGTGTGTGTGTCTCACTGTGTGTGTGTGTCTCACTGTGTGTGTGTGTCTCACTGTGTGTGTCTCACTGTGTGTGTCTCACTGTGTGTGTCTCACTGTGTGTGTCTCACTGTGTGTGTGTCTCACTGTGTGTGTGTGTCTCACTGTGTGGGTGTGTGTCTCACTGTGTGTGTGTCTCACTGTGTGTGTGTCTCACTGTGTGTGTGTGTCTCACTGTGTGTGTGTGTCTCACTGTGTGTGTCTCACCGTGTGTGTGTGTCTCACTGTGTGTCTCACTGTGTGTCTCACTGTGTGTGTCTCACCGTGTGTGTGTGTCTCACTGTGTGTGTGTCTCACTGTGTGTGTGTCTCACTGTGTGTGTGTCTCACTGTGTGTGTGTCTCACTATGTGTGTCTCACTGTGTGTGTCTCACTGTGTGTGTCTCACTGTGTGTGTGTGTCTCACTGTGTGTGTGTCTCACTGTGTGTGTGTGTCTCACTGTGTGTGTGTGTCTCACTGTGTGTGTCTCACTGTGTGTGTGTGTCTCACTGTGTGTGTGTGTGTCTCACTGTGTGTGTGTGTCTCACTGTGTGTGTGTCTCACTGTGTGTGTCTCACTGTGTGTGTGTCTCACTGTGTGTGTGTCTCACTGTGTGTGTGTCTCACTGTGTGTCTCACTGTGTGTGTGTGTCTCACTGTGTGTCTCACTGTGTGTGTGTCTCACTGTGTGTGTCACTGTGTGTGTCTCACTGTGTGTGTCTCACTGTGTCTCACTGTGTGTCACTGTGTGTGTCTCACTGTGTGTGTCTCACTGTGTGTGTCTCACTGTGTGTGTGTCTCACTGTGTGTGTGTGTCTCACTGTGTGTGTGTGTGTGTCTCACTGTGTGTGTGTGTCTCACTGTGTGTCTCACTGTGTGTGTCTCCACAGAGGGGCAAGGTAGTCCCAGAGGAGTTGGTTCGTGCTGAGGAGCTCGGGAAATATCAACCCACTGCCTCTCACGTGGTACGGTGGGGGGTGGAGACGTGGGGGACGTTAGGGGAGTGGTGGTTGTGGTGGTGGTTGTGGTGGTGGTTGTGGTGGTGGTTGTGGTGGTTGTAGTGGTGGTGGTTGTGGTGGTGGTTGTGGTGGTTCCTAAACCTCGCCCATTTACCCTCGACATCAGGAGGAGTGGGGGACGATGCCAACCCCAGCCGCAGGCGACGGTGAAATTCTCACTCGCAACTTTCATCAGCTAGCTGAGACCAGGCCACTAAGGGTGCGAATGGGGTCCTGGGTGTACACCCACCACCGGAGCGGAAGAATGGCAGGCGCATCTTACAGATGACTAGTCGATGGTCAGAGGGCAGATCAGCTCCACGGTAGGTCCTGGTGTCAAGGACATGGGCTCGCATCCGCTGGTCCGTCACTATGTAGTCCAGCAGATGTTCTTGCTTGGACCCGGCGTGCATCCGTGATGTTGTGTGGATGCGCCGATGCCGGAACAGCGTGTTGGTAATTACAAGCCCATGGGCTGCACAAAAATCTAGCAGCCTCCTACCGTTGTTATTGAGCTGATCTGGCCCATGCCCTCAATCTCTCCAGACCAGGTGCCAGTATCATGACCAACTCGGGCATTGAAGTCACCCAACATGATGACTCTATCCCGAGGGGCCACTTTAGCCAGCACCTGTGACAGGAGGTCATAGAAGGCATCTGACTCATCGGCCTTGCCTGCATCCCTCCACGGATGTTCGTCTTCGGTGGGGGCATAAGTAACCACGACCACCATTCCTCGCCTCTGGTTGATGGGAAGGCGAGCCCAAAGTAGCCTGGGGCTTACAGCTTCCCAGACCTCACCGCCACGCTCCCATGCCCCCTTCATTGGATGGTGGTTGTGGTGGTGGTAGTGGTGGTTGTAGTATTGATGGTGGTTGTGGTGGTGGTGGTTGTAGTATTGATGGTTGTGGTGGTTGTGGTGGTGGTTGTATTGATGGTTGTGGTGGTTGTAGTATTGATGGTTGTGGTTGTGGTGGTGGTTGTAGTATTGATGGTTGTGGTGGTTGTGGTGGTTGTAGTGTTGATGGTTGTGGTGGTTGTAGTGTTGATGGTTGTGGTGGTTGTGGTTGTTATGATGGTTGTGGTGGTTGTAGTATTGATGGTTGTGGTGGTTGTGGTGGTGATGGTTGTGGTGGTTGTAGTATTGATGGTTGTAGTATTGATGATGGTTGTGGTGGTTGTGGTGATGGTGATGGTTGTGGTGGTTGTTGTAGTGTTGATGGTTGTAGTGTTGATGGTTGTAGTATTGATGGTTGTGGTGGTTGTAGTGTTGATGGTTGTAGTATTGATGGTGGTGGTGGTTGTTGTGGTGGTGGTGGTTGTGGTGGTGATGGTTGTGGTGGTGATGGTTGTGGTGGTTGTGGTGATGGTGATGGTTGTGGTGGTTGTTGTGGTGGTTGTAGTATTGATGGTGGTGGTGGTTGTGGTTGTTGTGTGCAGGGTCTCCACAGTGCCAGTGTGCCCGGCATCCTCGCCATGGACCTCTGTCCCACCGATACAAACCGCGTCCTGACGGGTGAGCGTCGCTCACCGCTCACTCACCACTCACCACTCACTCACTCACTTACACACCCACTCACTCACCACTCACTCACTTACACACTTACTCACTCACCGCTCACCACTCACTCACTCACCGCTCACCACTCACCGCTCACCACTCACCACTCACTCACCACTCACTCACCACTCACTCACTCACCACTCACTCACCACTCACTCACACACCACTCACTCACTCACCTACTCACTCACCACTCACACACCACTCACCACTCACCGCTCACCACTCACTCACCACTCACTCACCACTCACTCACACACCACTCACCACTCACTCACTTACACACTCACTCACCACTCACTCACCACTCACTCACCACTCACTCACACACCACTAACCACACACTCACTCACTTACACACTCACTCACCACTCACTCATCGCTCATCACTCGCCACTCACCACTCACTCACCACTCACTCACCACTCACTCACCATTCACTCGCCACTCACTCACCCACTCACTCACCCACTCACCACTCACTCACACACCGCTCACCACTCACTCACCACTCACTCACCACTCACTCACTCACTCACCACTCGCTCACTTACACACTCACTCACTCACCTACTCACTCACCACTCACTCACTCACCTACTCACTCACCACTCACTCACTCACTCACCACTCACTCACCCACTCAGTGACTCACCACTCACTCACCCACTCACTCACCCACTCAGTGACTCACCACTCACTCACCGCTCACTCACTCACCACTCACTCACTTACACACCCACTCACTCACCACTCACTCACTCACTCACCACTCATCACTCACTCACCACTCATCACTCACTCACCACTCACTCACTTACACACCCACCCACTCACTCATCACTCACTCACTTACACACTCACTCACCACTCACTCACTCACTTACACACTCACTCACCACTCACTCACTCACCACTCACTCACCACTCACTCACCACTCATCACTCACTCACCCACTCAGTGACTCACCACTCACTCAGTGACTCACCACTCACTCACCACTTACTCACCACTCACTCACTCACTTACACACTCACTCACTCACCACTCACTCACTTACACACTCACTTACACACTCACTCACCACTCACTCACCACTCACTCACCACTCACCCACTCACTCATCGCTCACTTATACACTCACTCACCACTCACCACTCACTCACTTACACACTCACTCACCACTCACTTACCACTCACTCACTCACTTACACGCTCACTCACCCACTCACTCACTCACCACTCACTCACCACTCACTCACCACTCACTCACTCACCACTCACTCACTCACCACTCACTCACCACTCACTCACCACTCACTCACCACTCACCCACCCACTCACCACTCACTCATCGCTCACCCACTCACTCACCACTTACTCACTCACCACCCACTCACTCACCACTCACTCACCCACTCACTCACCACACACTCACTCACCACTCACCGCTCGCTCACCCACTCACCCACCCACTCACTCACTCACCCACTCACTCACTCATCACTCACTCACCACTCACTCACCACTCTCTCACCACTCAATCACCACTCTCTCACCACTCAATCACCACTCACTCACTCACTCACCACTCACTCACTCACTCACCACTCACTCACTCACACACTCACTCACTCACCCACTCACCCACTCAGTCACTCACCACTCACTCACCACTCACTCACCACTCACTCACCACTCACCCACCCACTCACCACTCACTCATCGCTCACCCACTCACCCACCACTCACCACTCACTCACTCACTCACCACCCACTCACTCACCACTCACCGCTCGCTCACCCACTCACCACTCACCGCTCGCTCACCCACTCACCAGGCCCTGTGCTTATCGTGGTTGTTGTGGTTACCATGGTGGTTGCCATGGTAACCACCATGGTGGTTGCCGTGGTGGTTGCCGTGGTGATGACGTGGTTACCGTGGTGGTTGCACTGGTTACCGCGGTGGTTGCCCTGGTTACCGTGGTGGTTGCCGTGGTGGTTACCATGGTGATGACGTGGTTGCCGTGGTGATGACGTGGTTGCCGTGGTGGTTGCCGTGGTGATGACGTGGTTGCCGTGGTGGTTGCCGTGGTGGTTGCCGTGGTGATGACGTGGTTGCCGTGGTTACAGGCGGTGCGGACCGCAGCGTGGTGGTGTTTGACAAGAGCTCCGAGCAGATCGTGGCGACGCTGAAGGGGCACAGCAAGAAAGTCACCTCGGTGGTGTTCCATCCCACGCAGGTGATGGACATCAACAACATCAACAACAACATCAACAACATCCACAACAACAACAACATCATCACCAACAACATCATCATCATCAACAACATCATCAACAACAACATCAACAACATCATCAACAACATCAACAACATCAACAACAACATCAACAACATCCACAACAACAACAACATCATCACCAACAACATCATCATCATCAACAACATCATCAACAACAACATCAACAACATCATCATCAACAACATCATCAACAACAACATCAACAACATCATCATCAACAACATCATCAACAACAACATCAACAACATCATCAACAACAACATCAACAACATCATCAACAACATCAACAACAACAACATCAACAACAACATCAACAACAACAACATCAACAACAACATCAACAACAACATCAACAACATCAACAACAACAACATCAACAACATCAACAACAACATCAACAACATCAACAACATCATCAACATCCACAACATCAACAACATCAACAACATCATCAACAACATCAACAACAACATCAACAACAACATCAACATCATCAACAACAACATCAACAACAACATCAACAACAACATCAACAACATCAACAACATCCACAACATCAACAACATCCACAACATCAACAACATCAACAACAACATCAACAACATCAACAACAACAACATCAACAACATCAACAACATCCACAACAACAACATCCACAACAACATCAACAACATCAACAACATCCACAACAACATCAACAACATCAACAACATCAACAACAACATCAACAACATCAACAACAACATCAACAACATCAACAACATCCACAACAACAACATCAACATCCACAACATCAACAACAACAACATCAACAACATCAACAACATCAACATCATCACCAACAACATCAACAACATCAACAACAACAACATCAACATCACCAACAACATCAACAACATCATCAACAACATTAACAACAACAACATCAACATCATCAAAAACATCAACAACATCCACAACAACAACATCCACAACAACAACAACAACAACATCAACAACAACATCAACAACAACATCATCAACAACAACATCATCAACAACATCAACAACAACATCATCAACAACATCAACAACAACAACATCAACAACAACATCAACAACAACAACATCATCAACAACATCAACAACAACATCAACAACAACATCAACAACAACATCAACAACAACATCAACAACAACAACATCAACAACAACATCAACAACAACAACATCAACATCATCAACATCATCAACATCCACAACATCAACAACAACAACATCACCATCAACATCATCAACAACAACAACATCAACAACAACAACATCACCATCAACATCATCACCAACATCATCAACAACATCAACAACAACATCAACAACAACATCAACATCATCAAAAACATCAACAACATCCACAACAACAACATCCACAACAACAACATCAACAACAACAACATCAACAACAACAACATCAACAACAACATCAACAACAACATCAACAACAACATCAACAACAACATCAACAACATCAACAACATCAACAACAACATCAACAACATCACCATCAACATCACCAACAACAACAACATCAACAACAACATCACCATCAACATCACCAACAACAACAACATCAACAACAACAACAACATCGCCAACAACATCAACAACATCACCATCAACATCAACAACATCAACAACATCACCAACAACATCACCAACAAAGACAACATCATCATCCTACATCAACAACATCATCATCAACATCAACAACATCAACAACAACAACATCAACAACAACATCAACAACATCATCACCAACAACATCACTATCAACATCAACAACATCAACAACATCCACAACAACAACAACAACATCACCATCAACATCACCATCAACATCACCATCAACATCACCAACAACAACAACATCAACAACAACATCACCATCAACATCACCAACATCAACAACATCAACAACAACAACATCGCCAACAACATCAACAACATCAACAACATCACCATCAACATCAACAACATCAACAACATCACCAACAACATCACCAACAAAGACAACATCATCATCCTACATCAACAACATCATCATCCTACATCAACAACATCAACAACAACATCAACAACATCATCACCAACAACATCACCATCCCCGTGTCTCTCTCTCCCCGTGTCTCTCTCCCCGTGTCTCTCTCTCCCCGTGTCTCTCTCTCCCCGTGTCTCTCTCCCCGTGTCTCTCTCTCCCCGTGTCTCTCTCTCCCCATGTCTCTCTCCCCGTGTCTCTCTCTCCCCGTGTCTCTCTCTCCCCGTGTCTCTCTCCCCGTGTCTCTCTCTCCCCGTGTCTCTCTCTCCCCATGTCTCTCTCTCTCCCCGTGTCTCTCTCTCCCCGTGTCTCTCTCTCCCCGTGTCTCTCTCTCTCCCCGTGTCTCTCTCTCCCCGTGTCTCTCTCCGTGTCTCTCTCCCCCTGTCTCTCTCCCCCTGTCTCTCTCTCCCCGTGTGTCTCTCCCCGTGTGTCTCTCTCCATGTCTCTCTTCCCCCGTGTCTCTCTTCCCCCGTGTCTATCTCCCCGTGTCTCTCTCCCCGTGTCTCTCTCCGTGTCTCTCTCCCCCTGTCTCTCTCCCCCTGTCTCTCTCTCCCCGTGTGTCTCTCCCCGTGTGTCTCTCTCCATGTCTCTCTTCCCCTGTCTCTCTCCCCGTGTCTCTCTCTCCCCGTGTCTCTCTCCGTGTCTCTCTCCCCCCGTGTCTCTCTCCCCCCGTGTCTCTCTCCCCACGTCTCTCTCTCCGTGTCTCTCTTCCCCCGTGTCTCTCTCCCCGTGTCTCTCTCCCCGTGTCTCTTTCTCCCCGTGTCTCTCTCCCCCCGTGTCTCTCTCTCCCCGTGTCTCTCTCTCCCCGTGTCTCTCTCTCCCCGTGTCTCTCTCTCCCCGTGTCTCTCTCTCCCCGTGTCTCTCTCTCCCCGTGTCTCTCTCTCTCCCCGTGTCTCTCTCCCCGTGTCTCTCTCCCTCCGTGTCTCTCTCCCCGTGTCTCTCTCTCCCCGTGTCTCTCTCCCCGTGTCTCTCTCGCCCAGTGTCTCTCTCTCCCCGTGTCTCTCTCTCCCCGTGTCTCTCTCCCCACATGCCTCTCTCTCCCCGTGTCTCTCTCCCCGTGTCTCTCTCCGTGTCTCTCTCTCCCCGTGTCTCTCTCTCCCCGTGTCTCTCTCCCCACGTGCCTCTCTCTCCCCGTGTCTCTCTCCCCCCGTGTCTCTCTCCGTGTCTCTCTCCGTGTCTCTCTTCCCCCGTGTCTCTTCCCCCGTGTCTCTCTCCCCGTGTCTCTCTCCCCGTGTCTCTCTCCCCGTGTCTCTCTCTCCCCGTGTCTCTCTTCCCCCGTGTCTCTCTTCCCCCGTGTCTCTCTCCCCGTGTCTCTCTCCCCCCGTGTCTCTCTCCCCCCGTGTCTCTCTCCCCCCGTGTCTCTCTCTCCCCGTGTCTCTCTCCGTGTCTCTCTCCCCCTGTCTCTCTCCCCCTGTCTCTCTCTCCCCCTGTCTCTCTCTCCCCGTGTGTCTCTCCCCGTGTGTCTCTCCCCGTGTGTCTCTCTCCGTGTCTCTCTCCCCGTGTCTCTCTCCCCGTGTCTCTCTCTCCCCGTGTCTCTCTCCCCCCGTGTCTCTCTTCCCCCGTGTCTCTATCTCCCCGTGTCTCTCTCCGTGTCTCTCTCCCCCTGTCTCTCTCTCCCCGGTCTCTCTCTCCCCGTGTCTCTCTCCCCGTGTATCTCTCCCCGTGTCTCACCGTGTCTCTCTCCCCGTGTCTCACCGTGTCTCTCTCCCCGTATCTCACCGTGTCTCTCTCCCCGTGTCTCTCTCTCCCCGTGTCTCTCTCTCCCCGTGTCTCTCTCTCCCCGTGTCTCTCTCCCCGTGTCTCTCTCCCCGTGTCTCTCTCCCCGTGTCTCACCGTGTCTCTCTCCCCGTGTCTCTCTCCCCGTGTCTCACCGTGCCTCTCTCCCCGTGTCCCCCGTGTCTCTCGCCCCGTGTCTCTCTCCCCGTGTCTCTCTCCCCGTGTCTCACCGTGTCTCCCCGTGTCTCCCCGTGTCTCTCTCCCCGTGTCTCTCTCCCCGTGTCTCACCGTGTCTCCCCGTGTCTCCCCGTGCCTCACCGTGTCTCTCTCCCCGTATCTCACCGTGTCTCTCTCTCTCTCCCCGTATCTCACCGTGTCTCTCTCTCCCCGTGTCTCTCTCCCCGTGTCTCTCTCCCCGTGTCTCTCTCCCCGTGTCTCACCGTGTCTCTCTCCCCGTGTCCCCCGTGTCTCTCGCCCCGTGTCTCTCTCCCCGTGTCTCTCTCCCCGTGTCTCATCGTGTCTCCCCGTGTCTCCCCGTGTCTCCCCGTGTCTCACCGTGTCTCTCTCCTCGTGTCTCACCGTGTCTCTCTCTCTCTCTCTCTCCCCGTGTCTCACCGTGTCTCTCTCACCGTGTCTCACCGTGTCTCTCTCCCCGTATCTCACCGTGTCTCTCTCTCTCCCCGTGTCTCACCGTGTCTCTCTCACCGTGTCCCACCGTGTCTCTCTCCCCGTGTCTCTCTTCCCGTGTCTCACCGTGTCTCTCTCCCCGTGTCTCACCGTGTCTCTCTCCCCGTATCTCACCGTGTCTCTCTCCCCGTGTCTCTCTCCTCGTGTCTCACCGTGTCTCTCTCCCCGTGTCTCTCTCCCCGTGTCTCTCTCCCCGTATCTCACCGTGTCTCTCTCCCCGTGTCTCACCGTGTCTCTCTCCCCGTGTCTCATCGTGTCTCTCTCCCCGTGTCTCTCTCCCCGTGTCTCACCGTGTCTCTCTCCCCGTGTCTCACCGTGTCTCTCTCCCCGTATCTCACCGTGTCTCTCTCTCTCTCTCCCCGTGTCTCTCTCCCCGTGTCTCACCGTGTCTCTCTCCCCGTGTCTCACCGTGTCTCTCTCCCCGTGTCTCCCCGTGTGTCTCTCTCCCCGTGCCTCACCGTGTCTCTCTCCCCGTATCTCACCGTGTCTCTCTCCCCATATCTCACCGTGTCTCTCTCTCTCTCTCTCCCTCCCCGTGTCTCTCTCCCCGTGTCTCACCGTGTCTCTCTCTCTCTCTCCCTCCCCGTGTCTCTCTCCCCAGGACGTGGTTCTCTCCCCGTGTCTCACCGTGTCTCTCTCCCCGTGTCTCACCGTGTCTCTCTCCCCGTGTCTCTCTCCCTCTCTCCCCGTGTCTCTCTCCCCAGGACGTGTCTCTCTCCCCGTGTCTCACCGTGTCTCTCTCCCTCCCTCCCCGTGTCTCTCTCCCCAGGACGTGGTTCTCTCCCCGTGTCTCACCGTGTCTCTCTCCCCGTATCTCACCGTGTCTCTCTCCCCGTGTCTCTCTCTCCCCGTGTCTCTCTCTCCCCGTGTCTCTCTCTCCCCGTGTCTCTCTCCCCGTGTCTCTCTCCCCGTGTCTCTCTCCCCGTGTCTCACCGTGTCTCTCTCCCCGTGTCTCTCTCCCCGTGTCTCACCGTGCCTCTCTCCCCGTGTCCCCCGTGTCTCTCGCCCCGTGTCTCTCTCCCCGTGTCTCTCTCCCCGTGTCTCACCGTGTCTCCCCGTGTCTCCCTGTGTCTCTCTCCCCGTGTCTCTCTCCCCGTGTCTCACCGTGTCTCCCCGTGTCTCCCCGTGCCTCACCGTGTCTCTCTCCCCGTATCTCACCGTGTCTCTCTCTCTCTCTCCCCGTATCTCACCGTGTCTCTCTCTCCCCGTGTCTCTCTCCCCGTGTCTCTCTCCCCGTGTCTCTCTCCCCGTGTCTCACCGTGTCTCTCTCCCCGTGTCCCCCGTGTCTCTCGCCCCGTGTCTCTCTCCCCGTGTCTCTCTCCCCGTGTCTCATCGTGTCTCCCCGTGTCTCCCCGTGTCTCCCCGTGTCTCCCCGTGTCTCACCGTGTCTCTCTCCTCGTGTCTCACCGTGTCTCTCTCTCTCTCTCTCCCCGTGTCTCACCGTGTCTCTCTCACCGTGTCTCACCGTGTCTCTCTCCCCGTATCTCACCGTGTCTCTCTCTCTCTCCGTGTCTCACCGTGTCTCTCTCACCGTGTCCCACCGTGTCTCTCTCCCCGTGTCTCTCTCCCCGTGTCTCACCGTGTCTCTCTCCCCGTGTCTCACCGTGTCTCTCTCCCCGTATCTCACCGTGTCTCTCTCCCCGTGTCTCTCTCCTCGTGTCTCACCGTGTCTCTCTCCCCGTGTCTCTCTCCCCGTGTCTCTCTCCCCGTATCTCACCGTGTCTCTCTCCCCGTGTCTCACCGTGTCTCTCTCCCCGTGTCTCATCGTGTCTCTCTCTCCCCGTGTCTCTCTCCCCGTGTCTCACCGTGTCTCTCTCCCCGTGTCTCACCGTGTCTCTCTCCCCGTATCTCACCGTGTCTCTCTCTCTCTCTCCCCGTGTCTCTCTCCCCGTGTCTCACCGTGTCTCTCTCCCCGTGTCTCACCGTGTCTCTCTCCCCGTGTCTCCCCGTGTGTCTCTCTCCCCGTGTCTCACCGTGTCTCTCTCCCCGTGTCTCCCCGTGTGTCTCTCTCCCCGTGTCTCACCGTGTCTCTCTCCCCGTATCTCACCGTGTCTCTCTCCCCATATCTCACCGTGTCTCTCTCTCTCTCTCCCTCCCCGTGTCTCTCTCCCCGTGTCTCACCGTGTCTCTCTCTCTCTCTCCCTCCCCGTGTCTCTCTCCCCAGGACGTGGTTCTCTCCCCGTGCCTCACCGTGTCTCTCTCCCCGTGTCTCACCGTGTCTCTCTCTCTCTCTCTCTCCCCGTGCCTCACCGTGTCTCTCTCCTCGTGTCTCACCGTGTCTCTCTCTCTCTCTCCCCGTGTCTCACCGTGTCTCTCTCACCGTGTCTCACCGTGTCTCTCTCCCCGTGTCTCTCTCCCCGTGTCTCACCGTGTCTCTCTCCCCGTATCTCACCGTGTCTCTCTCCCCGTGTCTCTCTCCTCGTGTCTCACCGTGTCTCCCCGTATCTCACCGTGTCTCTCTCCCCGTGTCTCACCGTGTCTCTCTCCCCGTGTCTCACCGTGTCTCTCTCTCCCCGTATCTCACCGTGTCTCTCTCCCCGTATCTCACCGTGTCTCTCTTTCCGTGTCTCTCTCCCCGTGTCTCACCGTGTCTCTCTCCCCGTATCTCCCCGTATCTCACCGTGTCTCTCTCCCCGTGTCTCTCCGTGTCTCTCTCACCGTGTCTCTCTCCCCGTATCTCACCGTGTCTCTCTCCCCGTGTCTCACCGTGTCTCTCTCCCCGTATCTCACCGTGTCTCTCTCTCTCCCTCCCTCCCCGTGTCTCTCTCCCCGTATCTCACCGTGTCTCTCTCCCTCCCTCCCCGTGTCTCTCTCCCCGTATCTCACCGTGTCTCTCTCGCCCCGTGTCTCCCTCCCTCCCCGTGTCTCTCTCCCCAGGACGTGGTTCTCTCCCCGTATCTCACCGTGTCTCCCCGTGTCTCCCTCCCTCCCCGTGTCTCTCTCCCCAGGACGTGTCTCCCTCCCCGTGTCTCACCGTGTCTCTCTCCCCGTGTCTCACCGTGTCTCTCTCCCTCCCTCCCTCCCCGTGTCTCTCTCCCCAGGACGTGGTTCTCTCCCCGTGTCTCACCGTGTCTCTCTCCCCGTATCTCACCGTGTCTCTCTCCCCGTATCTCACCGTGTCTCTCTCCCCTTATCTCACCGTGTCTCTCTCCCCGTATCTCACCGTGTCTCTCTTTCCGTGTCTCTCTCCCCGTGTCTCACCGTGTCTCTCTCCCCGTGTCTCACCGTGTCTCTCTCCCCGTATCTCACCGTGTCTCTCTCTCTCCCTCCCTCCCCGTGTCTCTCTCCCCAGGACGTGGTTCTCTCCCCGTATCTCACTGTGTCTCTCTCCCCGTGTCTCACCGTGTCTCTCTCCCCGTATCTCACCATGTCTCTCTCTCCCCGTGTCTCTCTCCCTCCCCGTGTCTCTCTCCCCAGGACGTGTCTCTCTCCCCGTGTCTCACCGTGTCTCTCTCCCTCCCTCCCCGTGTCTCTCTCCCCAGGACGTGTCTCTCTCCCCGTGCCTCACCGTGTCTCTCTCCCCGTATCTCACCGTGTCTCTCTCCCCGTGTCTCACCGTGTCTCTCTCCCTCCCTCCCCGTGTCTCTCTCCCCAGGACGTGTCTCTCTCCCCGTGCCTCACCGTGTCTCTCTCCCCGTATCTCACCGTGTCTCTCTCCCCGTGTCTCACCGTGTCTCTCTCCCCGTATCTCACCGTGTCTCTCTCCCCGTGTCTCACCGTGTCTCTCTCCCCGTATCTCACCGTGTCTCTCTCTCTCCCTCCCTCCCCGTGTCTCTCTCCCCGTATCTCACCGTGTCTCTCTCTCTCCCTCCCTCCCCGTGTCTCTCTCCCCGTATCTCACCGTGTCTCTCTCGCCCCGTGTCTCCCTCCCTCCCCGTGTCTCTCTCCCCAGGACGTGTCTCCCTCCCCGTGTCTCACCGTGTCTCTCTCCCCGTGTCTCACCGTGTCTCTCTCTCTCTCCCTCCCCGTGTCTCTCTCCCCAGGACGTGGTTCTCTCCCCGTGCCTCACCGTGTCTCTCTCTCCCCGTGTCTCTCTCCCCGTATCTCACCGTGTCTCTCTCCCCGTATCTCACCGTGTCTCTCTCTCTCTCCCTCCCCGTGTCTCTCTCCCCAGGACGTGTCTCTCTCCCCGTGTCTCACCGTGTCTCTCTCTCCCCGTGTCTCTCTCCCTCCCCGTGTCTCTCTCCCCAGGACGTGTCTCTCTCCCCGTGCCTCACCGTGTCTCTCTCCCCGTATCTCACCGTGTCTCTCTCCCTCCCCGTGTCTCTCTCCCCAGGACGTGGTTCTCTCCGCCTCCCCCGACTCCACCATCCGTGTATGGGCCGTCTCAGCGTCCACCTCCTCCACCTCCTCCACCTCCTCCACCTCGTCCTCCTCCTGCTCACAGCTGATCCGTGCTCATGACGGAGCCGTCACCGGACTGAGCTTGCACGCCACGGGCGACTACGTGCTGTCCTCCAGTGACGACCAGGTGGCCTAGTCACCCGCCTAGTCACCCGCTTAGTCACCCACTTAGTCACCCGCCTAGTCACCCGTTTAGTTACCCAACCAGTCACCCGCTTAGTCACCCGCTTAGTCACCCGCCTAGTCACCCGTTTAGTCACCCAACCAGTCACCCGCCTAGTTACCCACCTAGTCACCCACCTAATCACCCACCTAGTCACCCGCCTAGTCACCCACTTAGTCACCCACCTAGTTACCAACATAGTCACCTGCCTAGTCACCCACTTAGTCACCCACCTAGTCACCAACATAGTC